GAAGGGGGGTGTTACGAATAGTAATATTTAATATTACTGTGCACTCCTCACCGCAGCAAAAGAAGCACGCAGTAACGAGAATGAATGCGAAGCGTCAGACGGTTGGAATTGACTCGAAGCGACGGACAGTTGGGACGCATCTGGACCGTCGGAGCAGACGGCATCGGGCAGCAGCAGGCAGGATGGTTTTTGCGGGAACAGTTACGAAACTGTACGTGCCGCACGGTTGGGAGTGAATTTGAATAAGGGAATGTACCCCTTAGAGTACATGACTAGTTAGGTCGTTTCGTATTCCCCTGTACTCTTATTTATATCATCTTGTTTGCATGTTTTATTATCTCAAGCATTTACATTCACTCTGCTATTGAGGTCAAGGGCCCACCAACTATCTCACTGCGTGCGAACCTTCCTGGGTAGATCCTGGGCTACGATCAATTTCTGATCGCAGCACTCCTTTCCTTTTGTGTTGCCATGTCTTGTGATGACTTGATAGTAGTTGAGTTCCCCTTGTGAGCTCTCATACCATGTTGGGCTGAGAAATAGCCCTTAGGATCTTTGCAGGGGTGAACTCTGGGTAGGAACAATGTAATAGCGGAAGCGTTTAATGAAGAGGTTGAACCACCTTGCGCTAGTATGTGAGGGCAAAGTAGATTAATTAAAGCAAAGAGATACAAGATTATATAAGAGTACAAGGAATATGAAGGGATTCAGTTATAACTACTTTACTGTTGCTGTTGCGGTTCGATACAGTGACGACTCGGGCAACTGCTCTGTAACGAGTCAGTTGTGTGTCCTTGCTGTCGCGCTGCACTTGTCAGGTCAAAGGTCGCTGACCTTTGACTTTCGCGTAACCTCCAACAATTACTTCAACCTCCGAGGGTTGACTCGATGGTATCAGAATGAAGAATGGATGATGCATTGATGTTGGTTGGGGTACATATAGCTAACCCTAAGTTTTGTACCCCCTAAGACAAACCTCACTATAGGCTACAACATTTGACACACCCCCATAGCCTAAGTGAGGGGTGTCTAGCAGAACCACACGAGTACGGTCACAAGACCAGTCCAAGAAATGAAGCTCAGGGTGGATCACAACGTCACCACACAGTCTGAGCACAAACAACAGTGGCCACAAGGCCAGTCCAAGAAGTAACAGAGGTATATAGAAAGCAAAGTAAACAGTACACTCAAGTCTAAGCAACACGAGAACCAGTGTCAACAAGGCCTAACTGCACACAGCACCTCTGGTGGTCACAAGGCGGAAGCGCCTTGGTGAAGATGTCTGCAGTATTGGCCTCGGACTCCACAAACTCAAAGCGAGCCTGTCCACGCCTCTGCAACTCTCGCAGAAGAAAGTACCTGACGTGAATGTGCTTCACTCTGCTCTCCAGTCGTGGCTCTCGACAAAGGAGAATAGACGCCTTGTTGTCAGTGAACAAGGTCGGTGCAGAGCTCGGCCGCTCACCAAGGTCGGTGAGCAAGAAGGTCAACCAACGCAGCTCCTGTGCCGCCATGGCACCAGCGTAGATCTCAGCCTCAGCTGTAGAGGTCGAGACAGAAGAGGAGCGCGTGGACCGCCAGGAAACAGCTCCAGAACCCAGGCTGAAACAGTACCCCTGAGTAGACCTGTGAGTCTCAGCGTCGTCAGCGTAAGAGGAGTCACAGTGACCAGTAAGTACGACAGACTGCTGCCCTCCAAGAACTAGCCCCACGCCTGACGTCGTCGCTAGGTACTTCGCCACCCTCACAGCTGCTGTCCAGTGAACAGGACGGTGTCTCCCTGGCGCAACAAAGCGCGCAAGAACGCTGAGAGGGAAGGCGAGGTCCGGGCGAGTACAAGTCATCAGGTACATGAGGCAACCCACAAGCTCTGCGTAGGGACCACTAGGCTCGAACGGCTCGTCAGGAAAGGGTCCAGTGAGTCTGTGGTCAACAGCAAGAGGTGTGCGCTGTACTGTGGAGTGCTGAAGCCCGAACCGCTGAAGGACCTGCTGCACCATGTGCGACTGTGAAAGTGTAATGGTGCGAGCAGCTCTGTCCCTGGTGATCTGCAGGCCAAGGTAGTGGCGCAGCTCACCAAGATCAGTGCAGGTGTGTCTCTTCTGCAGTTCGGACTTCACGTGTGCCAAAGCAACCCTGTCAGGGGTGGCGAAAACAAGGTCGTCAACGTAGACCAGAACAAAGAAAGGTGTGGGGCCACGACGAACGAACAGCGACGGGTCAGCAGAAGACGGCTGGAACCCAAGGTCAGACAGGGTAGAACGCAGGGTGTCGTGCCACTCACGAGGAGCCTGACGAAGACCGTAAACCGGTCGCCTCAGCCTCCACTGGGTCCCAGGAGGGAAAGAGCCAGTGAAGGCAGAGGGACGACGCAACCAGACCTCCTCGTGAAGACTGCCCTGAAGGAAAGCAGTAGAGAAGTCGAGAGAGTGTAACTCGTAGTCTCTCTGTGCTGCTACGTGTAGTAACACCCGAAGAGTGGTCATCTTCGGGGTGGGCGCGAAGGTCTGAAAGAAGTCAACTCCCTCGCGCTGACTGAAACCTCTAGCCACGTAGCGTGCCTTGAAGACCGGAGGAGATCCCGGTGGTGCCACAGAACGGTGGGGTGGGCAAGCGACCGACAGGAGCAAGACGCAGCGACTGGACTGGACGCGACAACCTGAGGGGACGGAACCACCGGATGGGACACCCTTCTCTTCCACGTCTGCGTGCTATGTCTAGTCAGCGTCTGGTCTTAGGTCTCCCGCGTGTCTTGCCGTCGCTGCCGCCGTCCCTTGCACCACCGTGCGGTCCTTGCGTCGAGGGTAGGCTGCGTGCCACCCCTCACTCCTCCTCCCTTCGTCCGGCCACCGAGCCTTTTGAGACGCTGCACTTGGACGTCTGGGGCCCCTCTCCTCGCCCTGGCCCTGAGCGTGAGCGTTTCTTTTTGGTGGTCGTTGACGACTACTCCCGCTACACCACCGTGTTCCCCCTGGCGAGGAAGTCTGAGGTGACTTCTACGCTGATCAGGTGGTTGCTTACCACCCAGGACACTCGTGGTCGTCGTGTCAGCTGTCTCCACTCCGACCGCGGGGGCGAGTTTCGCTCCGGCATTCTCGCTGGATTCTGTCGCGAACAGGGCATTCGTCAGTCCTGGACGCTTCCGGAGTCCCCACAGCAGAATGGGGTTGCTGAGCGCCGCATAGGCCTGGTCATGGAGATTGCCCGCACCTCCTTGACTCACGCCCGTGCCCCCCATTTCCTGTGGCCATACGCAGTCAGGTACGCCGCGCACCAGCTGAACCTCTGGCCACGCGTCTCTCGGCCGGAGGCTTCACCGACCAGTCTTTGGACAGGGTCCCCTGGTGTCGCGTCGAGGTTTCGTGTCTGGGGGTGCTTGGCTCTTGTCCGCGACACCTCCGCGGACAAGCTCTCGCCTCGCGCCGTTCCTTGTGTCTTCCTTGGTTTCCCTGAGGACTCCTCTGACTTCACCTTTTACCACCCTCCCTCTCACCGGTTCTTTGACTCCCGTGACGTCCGTTTCGAGGAGTCCACCCCCTACTACGTCAGGTACCCCAGTCGAGGGCGAGATCAGGAAACAGGAACGGGAGGAAAAGACGGCCAAGAGAGACAGTAGCGGGAGTAGAGTAGCGGGCCTTAATCGCAGTGAGGTACGCAGCAGCGGTGCGAACCTGAGTGAAGTGGACCTCCTCTGACTCAGGGAGGAGGCTGCTGAGTGCGATGCAGGCCGCAGCGTCACGCGACGTCCAAGCCGTCCTGTCAGCGCGCTGACGGGCAAAGCGAGCCGTAGCAGCATCGTCAGGGGCAGGACCTAAAGCGGCAGGCTCGGGGGGCTCGGGGAGGTCACCAGTAGCGTGCGACCAGAGGGTCTCGCCCCCCTGGACTTGACTCTCTAACAGACGGCGAGCGCGAAGAAGCCAGACGGAAAAGTCAAGAGGTCTACCGTCAGCGTCGAAACGAAGAACTCGCGGAGTCGCCATAGCGAGAACTAACGCGAACGAGCAGGCGAGTAACAGCAGGAGGTAAGAGGCAAATTAGGGTTCAGGTGGGGAGGGGGGGGGGGGACTTAGTCGCAGCGGAAGAACGGGCTAGGGCGACGGGCCAGGGCGTAGGGTCGACGGGACGGGGGAAAGGGCGGGCGCGATGCGACGGGGCAGGGCGACGCGACGGGGCAGGGCGACGCGACGGAGCAGAGGCGACGGGACGGGGAAGGGCGACGCGACGGGGCAGGGCGACGCGACGGGGCAGGGCGACGGGACGGGGAAGGGCGACGCGACGGGGCAGGGCGACGCGACGGGGCAGGGCGACGGGACGGGGCAGGGCGACGTGACGGGGGGAAAGGGCGCGACGCGACGGGGGGAAAGGGCGCGACGCGACGGGGGGAAAGAGCGCGACGCGACGGGGGGAAAAGGGCGCGACTCGACTGGGGGGAAAGGGCGCGACGCGACGGGGGGAAAGGGACGCGACGAGGGGGAAAGGGCGGGCAGGACGCGACGCTAGGAGTGGCGCTAGGCGCGGCACTACGCGCGGTAACAACGGAACCGGGACGAATGAGAGCTAGGATCAGGCTCGGGAGGCTCGAACGGAGAACGGAGGAACGGGATCCCACAGGATCCTAACCTAACTGATACCATGTCAGAATGAAGAATGGATGATGCATTGATGTTGGTTGGGGTACATATAGCTAACCCTAAGTTTTGTACCCCCTAAGACAAACCTCACTATAGGCTACAACATTTGACAGATGGTGTTTCGATATGTTTCGCTTCGCTTGTGCCTTAGTGTTTCGACACGACAGAGGCGCTTAAGACTGATTGTTTCCAACAGTGCACTCTAAGCATATAAATATAAAAGGCTTCTAGCTTTCATTGTGTTTCAGATTAGGGTTGGCTGATGCTGTGTGTGTGTGACATTTCCTATGAACTGGAAACTTGTTTTAGCTGATAATAGGTCGAAGTTGGGCTGGTTCGGTAAACCTTTTTACGCATGTGGCGGAAGGGATGTCTGTTTGTAACGGGTTAGTGGACGCCGTTAGAAATGTCTCGCGACTATGACAAGCATCTCCGACTGCCCACTTCACCTACGGAACACACCCTTTTCAAAGTTTCTGCAGATTATCTTCCCTGGGTGATCTTCCTGCAAGCTGCGTACTCACTTTCAACCTAGCTTTCCCCGCGGCGTTTCGTTCTGTTGCGTGTTAGGAACTGGCTCTTCGATCGTAGTTGTCATCGTCTGTGAGGTAGCTGGGCCGTGACGTGAGCCGTCTTCCTACCACGAAATTAAGAAGTCGTGTGAAGTCTGCTTCCAAATATAGATCCTTTCACCGAAATCTGATAAGGGGATAGACTCACGGAGGTCTCAGCAGGGCATCCTCAGGAAAGATAAGGCACGATGAATCGGCGGAATGTGAGTTTCCGCGCTCTTTTTTCTGTCCGTCGTATTTCTTTCTTCCGTCTCAGCGGTTTCCGAACGACCAGGAAGATTAGCTTGTAACGTCGCATCCGCAATCGCTAGTGTCATCTCACCCTCTGAAGGAAAGAAGCAGCATGATGCGCGCTGGTTACTCCGTGTGTGGGCTTAGTTGCTGCCGCTGCTGGTCTAAGACTCTTCTGTATAAGGCAGAGAAAATCCTACTTCTTCTGCCAATCATACCCAAGCCTGGTAGTTTTGTCGGCTTGGTTACTTAACCTAGGTATTGCGATAATTGCGTATGGAAACAGGTGTCGTGTCCATGCAGGCGTTACACGAGCTTCTACTCGGAAATTCGCTAAAAGGGATTCGATTAGGACCCTTGCGCCCAGCGAAGGTCTCAAGACTCCCAGCGTTGGCTCACGACAAACGAAGTGGTTGGTCCCCTTGCACCCCTCACCACCTCATTCAGCCACTCTCTCTCTTCTCGTTCTCCCCCCTCTCTCTGTCTCTCTCCTCCAGGTACGATTACCACCCGAAGTCAACCGAGCCATCTACGTGCGGTGAGTGTAGTGACGCGTGTGTGAAAGGGTGTGTGAAGTTGAGGGAGTGTGAAAGGGAGTTTGTGAGTGGCGTGTCCAGAGCACCATGTTTGCACATTCCCCTCCCTTCAACATGCATCATCTTGTCTCTACTCAGTTGCACTCAAGCACTGTGCGTGCCTGCGACGCTCCTATGATCGTTTGTGTGATATTAAGGAGCCCACGCTCTCTCACTCGCTTTCTGCTCCCATCCCCCTCACTTCCTTCCTTCGTCGTCCCCCCTGCCTCACTTCTCGTCGCCCCACCTCTGCCCCGTTACCCGTTTTCCTTGCGCCGTTCTTGTCCTCCTCACTCAAGAGTACGGCCTCCCACCTCCATACTGTCTTATCACTTCCTTCCCTCTCTATACCTCTTTACACCTCCCTACCGCTCCCTACCGGTCTCTGCATCTCTCTCTGATTTCTATGAGTCATTGCCTTTCTCTGCCCCTCTCTACCCCTCTATACCACTAAATGCCATCACATCAGAGGAGATGTACGACATCTTAATGTATCCTTGCCTCTCTCTGCCCCTCTCTACCCCTCTGTACCACTTGGATGCCCTTCTCAACAGCAACCTACCGTTCAACATCACATCAGAGGAGATGTACGACATTTTTGGCAAATACGGCGCCATCAGACAAATACGCATGTGAGTCACTGCAGGGGCCATCTGCCTGCACACTCACCTGCACACTCCTCTGGCGCTTGGCACTCTGTGTATCCATTGCCCCGCTTCTGCTGCAGAACTTGTGAAACATGAGGCACGCTCTTATGGAGTATGAGGCCTCTTTTTATGGGAAGAATGCGATTCCTTTTTTGTACCCCTTTAGCGCAGTCCCTTAACTCCTATTGTCCATGTCCTTGTGCCAGCAGAAGGGCGACCATTTCTTTTTTGTACCCCCTTTAGCACAGTCCTTTAACTCCTATTGTCCATGTCCTTGTGCCAGCAGAAGGGCGACCATTCCTTTTTTGTAACCCCTTTAGCACAGTCGTTTAACGCCTATTGTCCATGTCCTTGTGCCAGCAGAAGGGCGACCATTCCTTTTTTGTACCCCCTTTAACACAGTCCTTTAACTCCTATTGTCCATGTCCTTGTGCCAGCAGAAGGGCGACCATTTCTTTTTTGTACCCCCTTTAGCACAGTCCTTTAACTCCTATTGGCCATGTCCTTGTGCCAGCAGAAGGGCGACTATGAGGCGGTTGATTGATTCTGAGAATTTTCAACATCATCCACCATGAGCACATGGTTTTGAGTTGATTTTTGAGGCGCCTAAAAAATGAACTCACTTTTGAGGCGCCTCAAAAATCAACTCTCTTTTGAGGCGCCTTTCAACATCATCCACCATGAGCATATGGTCCTACACCGAGTTTCCCAGCTTCCATTCATTCCTACCAGCCCACAATTGTTTCTCTCGTAGTAGCGGTGACAAGGAACAGCGTTCATGCAGGACACATGCTTGCCGTTGTATCGTGCTTGCAGTGACAAGGAACGGCGCTCTTGAGAATTCCCGAGAATGATCGACAAAAAGAAAGGACACCAAGAAAGGACACCAAGGGGAACGGCCTTGGTGTCTCCTTGGTCACTCCTCGTTCATGTCCCGAGGGGAACAGCCTTGGTGTCTCCTTGGTCACTCCTCGTTCATGTCCCGAGGGGAACAGCCTTGGTGTCTCCTTGGTCACTCCTCGTTCATGTCCCGAGGGGAACAGCCTTGGTGTCTCCTTGGTCACTCCTCGTTCATGTCCCGAGGGGAACAGCCTTGGTGTCTCCTTGGTCACTCCTCGTTCATGTCCCGAGGGGAACAGCCTTGGTGTCTCCTTGGTCACTCCTCGTTCATGTCCCGAGGGGAACAGCCTTGGTGTCTCCTTGGTCACTCCTCGTTCATGTCCCGAGGGGAACGGCCTTGGTGTCTCCTTGGTCACTCCTCGTTCATGTCCCGAGGGGAACGGCCTTGGTGTCTCCTTGGTCACTCCTCGTTCATGTCCCGAGGGGAACAGCCTTGGTGTCTCCTTGGTCACTCCTCGTTCATGTCCCGAGGGGAACAGCCTTGGTGTCTCCTTGGTCACTCCTCGTTCATGTCCCGAGGGGAACAGCCTTGGTGTCTCCTTGGTCACTCCTCGTTCATGTCCCGAAGGGGAACAGCCTTGGTGTCTCCTTGGTCACTCCTCGTTCATGTCCCGAGGGGAACGGCCTTGGTGTCTCCTTGGTCACTCCTCGTTCATGTCCCGAGGGGAACAGCCTTGGTGTCTACTTGGTCACTCCTCGTTCATGTCCCGAGGGGAACAGCCTTGGTGTCTCCTTGGTCACTCCTCGTTCATGTCCCGAGGGGAACGGCCTTGGTGGTGTACCGAGGACATGCACAACGCTTAGAACGCCGGGGAGCATCGTTCCCTGCTTCCCGTCCGTGTCCTGTTCATTCTTATCCCTCTTCCAGCGGAGTGACCAAGGAGACGCGCGGAACGGCCTTTGTGGTGTACGAGGACATCTACGACGCCAAGAACGCTGTGGAGCATCTGTCGGGGTTCAACGTGGCCAATCGGTACCTCATAGTGCTCTACTACCAGCAGGCCAAGTTCACCAAGAAGATCGACCAGGTATGCAATACGTGTGCCCTGCTTGTTGCCCTGGTGACTTGTGAGGCGCTTTATCTGTCCCATGAGGCGTCTCTTCTGTCCCATGAGGCGTCTCTTCTGTCCCATGAGGCGTCTCTTCTGTCCCATGAGGCGTCTCTTCTGTCCCATGAGGCGTCTCTTCTGTCCCATGAGGCGTCTCTTCTGTCCCATGAGGCGTCTCTTCTGTCCCATGAGGCGTCTCTTCTGTCCCATGAGGCGTCTCTTCTGTCCCATGAGGCGTCTCTTCTGTCCCATGAGGCGTCTCTTCTGTCCCATGAGGCGTCTCTTCTGTCCCATGAGGCGTCTCTTCTGTCGGGGTTCACACGTGGCCAATCGGTACCTCATAGTGCTCTACTACCAACAGGCCAAGTTCACTAAGAAGATCGACCAGGTACAGTCTGCTCCGCTGTCCGGCAGTCTCAGGTGCAACCGACCGTCCAGTACAACAGAGAAGTGAGTGAGCTGGGATTAGGATGTGCTCCTTCTTTTGAAGCATATCTGAACCCGCTTCCATACTACTGCTTTACGGTTTTATGTTTGACCAGCAACCAGTACAGCAGGCATATTCATATTCACATTCCACCTCTACCCCTTTGCCCTTCGCCCCGGTTATTCTCTGTTTTTCTCTTCCTGGGGTGGGTGAGCAGAAGAAGAACGAGGAGGAGTTGGATAAGATGCAGAAGAAATATGGTGTGTCAGGGGAGCAGAAATAGTGCGAGGCAGATACTGGTGCGGCTACTTTGGCGTTGCCGTGGTTATTCATCTTCCTAAAGTGGGATGGGTGAGCAGAAGTGACCGAGGAAAGATAAGGTGCATAAGAAGATGTATGGCGGGGTGTGTCAGGGGAGCAGAAATAGCCGATGAGGAACAGTGAGCACATAGTGGCACGGCCAGTATGATACAGCAGAAGTAAGGCATGGCGTGTCAGGAGAGCAGAAATAATGGAGACGCGTACTACCGTTACATCCGCTGTTATGCTGACGCTCTGTGGTTCAACCCCTCTCTCTCCCGTGCGAGAGCAGAAATAGCTGATGCAGGATAGTATGAACAAATCGGTGCGGTACAGGCCCTCAGATTCGTTTTAGGCCTGTCTGATTCGTCAGACTAGTACACAATTTTAGTCTGAAAATCTCAGACTTCGTTAAAAAAAAAAGCTGAAATGTCAGAGTGTCTTAAAATAAAAGTCTGATCATTCAAAATCAATGTATTCAATGTTTCATTAATCTGCTACCGAAACATGCTACACTAAGGGGATTTTCGATAAAACATGCTCTGACAGGGCGAACATATGTGTCAGGGCGAATCTTGTGGTGCGAAAAGGCGAATGTGCAATGTCAGGGCGATTTTGCTGTGATTGGGCGAAAATTGTGGTGCTCTGACAACGCAAATCTGTTGTGTCAGGGCGATTTGCCTATGATTGGGCGAAAATCTTGTGATGTAAGGCTTGGATTTGCTGTGTCAAGGCGATTTTGCTTTGGCAGTGCGAATCTGCTGTGACCCGTAAGTCCGAATCACCAGTCAAGGACGCGTTTGTACTCTGAATGATCAGAGTACACTCTCAGAAAACTCTGAACTCTCAGAGTTAGCCTTAGAAAAAGTCTGAAAATTACAGAGGCCCAAAAAAGTCTGATTTTATCAGAGTACACAGGAAAAAAAATCTGAAATATCAGAGAAAAAAGCCCAAATCAGAGAAAAAAGTCTGACTTCTGAGGGCCTGGTGCGGTATACTGTGATGCAAAAGAAGCATGGCGTGTTGAGAGAGCAGAAATAGTGGAGGCATGTACCGTTACAGCCACTTTGATGTTGGAGTATGGCACGTCGGGAGAGCAGGAATGGAACATCTCATGCCTGTTACTTCTATTGTGATGGTGACTTCACCATCCTTTTTCATATTGTAATTTTTTGATCCCGTTTATCCACCCGTTCCCGAAGCCCCTTCAAAAAAGAACCAACATGGGAGCATGCAAAGCACGCATATGAATATTAAATTGTAGGTACGTAGTCCTACAATTTCGTACGGTCCTCACATTTCGCTCTCAATCCTCAAACTTAATACAAGATATATACCTACATCCGCTCTGATTCTTATCTAACCCCCAAATGACTGTACTTACAAACTTCGTCACTTCCTGGTAAAGCATCTGCTACTAGGGCTCAATCACTACAGTACAGCAAGGCCTTTTCATCGCCACAATGGCACGTGCCTTCAATCTCGGCTGTTCATTCATTTGCCCCTCAGAAAACTAATGGCTCGATCAGCCACCTGCATGATGCCAAATTGTTCCGAGTGGCAGGGGTACAGAACTGTGTTGTACCCAGGGATGTGATCAGGAACTATCAGGTGTTCTCAATCACGGGCCACAACCTCAGAACTTTAAGACACACGTTAAAAACTACCTTACATTTCTTGGAGCCTTCAGTTTCCCACTTTAGTATGGACAGCTCACTTATACTCAAACTCCAAACTGTGGCTGGAGTGGAAACCCCATATCCTTGTGGAAGTCCAATTTAGCCCCGATGAGAAAGGGCATTTTTTAACAACGGAAGAAGGAATCTGTAATGATAACGAGAGTTGCTGAAGACCACTATTTTTGTCTTGTATCCTCTCCTTGCAGTGTCACCTAGTCTCAACTCGCGTTGACTTTTGTACCCACCAAAGAATACAAACCTGCCGCATTACCGTACTGTAGCAGTCCAGCCGTGCACCACAGAACCGTGCGTGCGTGAATGGAAGCCTTTCACCTGAAATACAGTACAGTAATCTGATCCGGTAATGGCAGTGGACCTACACCGGCTGACAGATCTGCAGGTGTATCCAGGAACATCTGCACCTACACCTGACACGAGATATGCCGTTCAAACCACCTGAAGAAGCGTGCGGATAGTGCTGTACACGAACCTAATCGCGATGTACCTGTACTATTGTCCCATTCACTATTTTTGCGATACTAGTCCCTAACTGAAAGGAAAAGGCAAAAGACTATATATTTTCAGGGTCCTCATGTCAGGTACAGTGAAGTCTCAACTCGTCGTTTTGTTAAAATCTGTAGTCAATACCAAAAAACATGGTTGCGTTTTTTTACTGCAGTCTTCGCCACTTGGCTCACGCACATTACATATTTTTCAATCCTTTTAAAATTTTGTGGAGGTTTGAAAATTCAGCTCTAGCTGAGATAAATCTAAGGTCCACGTATAGATTTAAGGCTTTGTATTGTAGTTAATCCATAATGAAAGAACTCCCTGAGGGAACCGTCTCTAGGTGAGCGGGGAGCCTAATCGCTGCATACGAGTATTCGGTTTGGAAACTAGCAAGTAGTGTACGATCGTCTCGCGAGGGACTCGTTGTGAGTATACCACAATTTCAATCTTCCAAATTTAGGGTTTTCGTCATGCGGTGGGTAACTTCTCTCGTGTGGATTCAAACTCGGGGCTGTAGCAGGATGCGTTGTACAACGTGGCGAGCCGCGGTTCGCCTACTGCCGCAGCGTGTCCCGACAAACGAGGCCACGTGACGACAGATTTCTCCAGCCGCACTTCCTGCCAGTATGGGTTTCTCAGGACCAGTGATTATCATCCGATCATTCTGGAGGTCTGGATTTGTCCTATCCTAGAAACCTGAGGTTCCCTGACAGCCGTCCGAGAGTATTCGCGTCGCATGGCATTACTCAGGAAAACTGGAAGGGGGGCGAGTGGGTGGGAATGGGGAGGAGAGGAGTACCTGGGAAGGACGGAAGGAAAGGGGAACTTCTGGCCCCGGGAGGGTGGGGGGAGATCTCTTTTGTCGCTTCCCACCGGCGCGCGTATACGCGCACCTATAAGCCATGATCTGACGGGAAACCCAGTGAATCTCGCCGGCTTCTACTATTCTTTCCCCACCACCTGCCCCACCTGCCCCACCACCTGCCCCACCTGCCCCACCACCTGCCCCACCTGCCCCACCACCTGCCCCACCACCTGCCCCGACCTACCCCCCCTGCCCCAGCGATAAGGGCCGATCCTACCCCGACCCGACGCGACTGCCCTTCCCCCGATCGGCACTTCCTAGAATCCCTGTGCAGGTAACGGCGAGCAGAGGGATCTACTAGATGTGACGTCCAGGTTACGATCATGTCACATCTGGTGGTACTACCCACGGTGAGAATCACAAGCAACTCCTCACGCTCTCGCTCCCCTCCTCCCGCCGCTGCTGCTGCTGCTGCTGCCGCTGCTGCTGCTGCCGCTGCTGCTGCTGCTGCCGCTGCTGCTGCTGCTGCTGCCGCTGCTGCTGCTGCTGCTGCCGCTGCTGCTGCTGCTGCTGCTGCCGCTGCTGCCGCTGCTGCTGCCGCTGCTGCTGCTGCTGCTGCCGCTGCTGCTGCCGCTGCTGCTGCTGCCGCCGCTGCTGCTGCTGCCGCCGCTGCTGCTGCTGCCGCTGCTGGACCTGAATTCTGGACCTGATTTGAAGGCACTACTATCGGCCATCGGTTGACAGGCGTCTGCTTCTCACCACGGTATCATCCGCCGCTCCGCCTCCTCCGCCGTCCCTTCTCCGCCGCTACACCATACTCCGCCACCCGTTCCCCGCCGTCCCCTCCTCCCGCCGCCCCTCCTCCGCTGCCCCTTCTCCGCCGCCCTCGTTGAACGAGTTCCGCGCGCCCGTCATGTCGCGCCGGGGCTTCACTCCAGTTGCGGCGCCAGCGGCGGGTCTCCTTGCGCTGCTGCTCCTCGCAGCGGCAGCTGGCGGCGTGCGCGGAGCGGGCGTCAATGCGGCGCAACCCCGCAAGCTGGCTGCTGGCGGAAGCGGAGACAATGCCGCCGCGTCGGAGCTAGTAAAGGAATCCTCCCGGTCTTCCGCGGAGGGGGACTGGCTTGTAGTGAAGGATTCTGCTCCTTCCGCCAGTGGCGGTGAGGCGGACGCGGAAGCGGAGGCGCAGGCGCAGATTCCGCCGCTGCAGCTGATTCTGGCGGAAGAAGGGCGCGCGGAGGGCGCAGTGTGCTTGGACGGGTCGGCTCCTGGGTTCTACTATCGGAAGGGCTATGGCTCGGGAGAAAACAACTGGGTGCTGTTCTTCGAGGTGTGACTAAAACGAACGGCTTCCGTTTTCCTCCTTTTTTTCAATTGTTTCTGCACCGCCTAGTACCCTCCGCCGCCTCCCTGGCCCTCCATCCCCTGCTTGTTTACCTCTACTGTTTTTTCTTCCCCCCTTGTCCACCTTCCGTTCCGCCCTCCTTTCCCCTCCCCTCCCCCCACCCCTCTCCGCTTCCCCTCCACTCTCCCCTTCCGCCCGCATTCCAGGGCGGAGCGTGGTGCGCGTCCCCCCACGCCTGCGCGCACAGGGCGCGCACGCACCGGGGATCCACGGAGCACGCGCGCTCAGTGGCGGAGATGCTGGATAAGGAGAAGGGCGGCATGAACGGCATGCTCAGCTTCAATAAGACTGTCAACCCTGGTGAGAATCCGTAGCTGCTGCACCGCACCGCACCGCACCTCGATGCACAGTTCATGTTCAGCGGCAGCATGATTGGCATGCTCAGCTTCAATAAGACCGTCAACCCTGGTGAGGAGAAGTTGCTGTTACACCGCACCGCACCGCACTACACTGCACCGCATACTTGCGCTGAATGGCAGGCATGCAGGGCATGCTCAGCTTCAACCGCACTGTTAACCCTGGTGAGGATAAGTCGCTGCTACACCGCACTGCACCGCACCGCACACTTGATGCACACCGCGGCACCGTCAGCCCTGGTGAGTGAGGAGAGCTGACTTCACCTGCTGCTCCCTTCACCAGCTGCTCCCTTCACCTGCTGCTCCCTTCACCAGCTGTGCTGACTCCTCTTAACCTGCTGTGCTGACACTGCCTTGCATCCACCCCTGTCCCCCCCAGCCTTCTCCCAATTGGAATACCATCGCTGTCCACTTCAGTTACTGCGATGGCGGCTGTTCAAGCACCTCAAAAGCCATTTTGAGACGTCTCACACGCCTTTTGTGCTGCACCCTCGCCTTGCCCCCAACCTCCGCCTTGCCCCCAACCTCCGCCTTGCCCCCAACCTCGCTGGAATGTCTGATCACACGCCTTTTGTGCTGCACCCTCGCCTTGCCCCCAACCTCCGCCTTGCCCCCAACCTCCGCCTTGCCCCCAACCTCGCTGGAATGTCTGATCACACGCCTTTTGTGCTGCACCCTCGCCTTGCCCCCAACCTCACACCAGCCTTCTACAACTGGAACGCCGTCTATTTCATCTACTGCGATGGCGGCTCATTTTCAGGCAACCAGGACGAGCCCATTCACTTCAATGTCAGTCACATGCCCCTCCGTCCCTCTCCGACTCTCTCCCTCTCGCCTCTCCCTCCACCTCTCCACATCTCGCCTCTCCGCCTCTCCTTCTCTCCGCCTCTCCTTCTCTCCTTGTCTCCGCCTCTCCTTCTCCTTGTCTCCGCCTCTCCTTCTCTCCTTGTCTCCGCCTTTCCTTCTCTCCCTCTCTCCTTGTCTCCGCATCTCCTTCTCTCCGCCTCTCCTTCTCTCCCCTCTCCGCCTCTCCCCCTATCCCACTAATCCTCTCTCCACATCTCCGCCTCTCCTTCTCTCCGCCTTTCCGCCTGCTCGCCTCTCCACCTTTTTACACTTCCGTCTCTGCCTCTCCACCTCTCTGCCTCTCCACCTCTCTGCTTCTCGTCGTGCTGTTTCTTCCTTCTCATTCTCCCCCTCTCTCGTCCACCACCCCTTCCTTTCCCCTTCCTTTCCCCTCCCTCCTATCCTGCCCCCCCAGGGCATTCCGCTGTACGTGCGCGGAAGGCGAGTAGCGGAGCTGCTGCTGAGGGTGCTAATGGAGAAGAAGGGGCTTGACCGCGCGGACAGGGTGAGAGGGGGGAGGGTGGCGGGTGGGAGGGTGAGATTGGCAGCGTGAGAGGGAGGAGAGTGATGAGGGGAAGGCGAGTGGAGAGGGAGGAGAGTGATGAGGGGAAGGCGAGTGGAGAGGGAGGAGAGTGATGAGGGGAAGGCGAGTGGCGGAGCTGCTGCTGAAGGTGCTTGTGGTGCTTGTGGAGAAGAAGGGGCTTGACCACGCGGACAGGGTGAGAGGGGGAAGGGACCAGAAGGGAGGGTGCGAGGGGCAGCGTCAGAGGGAGGAGGATGGTGAGAGAGGGAGGAGAGTGGCGGGTCAGCCGAGGCTGGATTTGTCCTGTCCTGCATGGCAGGTGGTTGTGGGATGGTCAGGGGGAGCATTGCTGCCGGGCAGGAAGGAATGCCACTGGTAGCCGCTGGTAGACGCTGGTAGCCGCTGGAAGCCGCTGGAAGCCGCTGGGGGCCATGTCTTCCCCCTTTCGTCCGCTGGAAAGGAAAGGAAGGACTCACTTCCTTCCCTTCCCTTTCCCCCTTGCCTGCTGCGGTGCCCTCCCTCCCGCCCGTCAACCGAGCAGGTGGTTGTGTCGGGATCTTCAGCGGGAGGGGTGGCGCTGCTACTGCATTGCGATCATTGAGTGAAGGGCACTCAGAAATACCCATGCCTATGGTGCCTTCCCTCCCACCCATCAACCGAGCAGGTGGTTGTGTCGGGGAGTTCAGCGGGAGGCGTGGCGGCGCTGCTGCACTGCGATCGAGTGAGGGACACTCTCACAGCCGCCTCTCCTTCCATGCACGTCCGCTGCCTTGCTGACGCTTCCATGTTCCTTGACGTGTAAGACTCTCTTTCACCCCTCTTCATCCCTCTTCACTCCTCTGTCACTCGTATGGATTGAATCGTAAGAGCACATTGACTTGTGCTGACTTGTATTATTATTATTATTATTATTATTATTGTTATTGTTGTTGTTGTTGTTGTTGTTGTTGTTGTTGTTGTTGCTGCTGCTGCTGCTGCTGCTGCTGCTGCTGCTGCTGCTGCTGCTGCTGTTGCTGTTGCTGTTGCTGTTGCTGTTGTTGTTGCTGTTGTTGTTATTAGTATTATTATTATTATTATAACAATAATAATAATAATAATAATAATTATTACTACTACTACTACTATTTATTTTTATTTGTAATGCAAAATTGCAGGTGTTTTTTTTCGTTACTGTATTGACACTTTGACTTATGTCGGTGCATGCATGTGTGTATCTCTCTCCCTCCCTCTCTCCTCCCTCTCTCTCTCTCCCTCCCTCCCACCTCCTCCCCTCACTTCCTCCCTCCCCATGTGCAGTCCTGATGTCAACAACACTAGGAGGGTTGCCAACTTTTTTGCTCAAGTGAAGGACATGCATGTGAGCAAGTCAGGACATGCATGTGAGCAAGTCAGGACATGCATGTGAGCAAGTCAGGACATGCATGTGAGCAAGTCAGGACATGCATGTGAGCAAGTCAGCGCATGCATGTGAGCAAGTCAGGGCATGCATGTGAGCAAGTCAGGGACATGCAATCCCACGCCAACCCATAACTGCCAACCTTCTCACATTTCCCAGCCTTGCTCTTATCTCCTCCCTGCTCTCACCGTTCTTCTATCTTGTGGCCCTCTTATCCAGAATCTGACCGCCAGCCTCCCAGCAGCGTGTGTCCAGGAGCGAGAGCCAGAGAACCACCATCAGGTGCGCTGCTGCTGCCCTCCTCCATGCCATGCCATGCCGAGCCGTGCCGTGCCGTGCCGTGCCGTGCCGTGCCATGCCATGCCATGCCATGCCATGCCGTGCCGTGCCATGCCATGCCATGCCATGCCATGCCATGCCATGCCATGCCATGCCATGCCATGCCATGCCATGCCATGCCATGCCATGCCATGCCATTCCATGCCATGCCACCTTGTCCAGCCGTGGTTCTGATCCATCGGTAGGAGACTGCACATATTATGCCATGTACAGTACCTTTCACCGACTCGCTGAACCCCTCTTCAACCTAAACGCACCCCACCACACCCCTTTCGCCCTCCTCGCCCCCATCTCTTTCCTCATTCGCATTCGCCACTCCTCTTCACTCCGCTTCACTCCTCTTCACTCCGCTTCACTCCTCTTCACTCCTCTTCACTCCGCTTCACTCCTCTTCACTCCGCTTCACCCCTCTTCACTCCGCTTCACTCCGCTTCACTCCGCTTCACTCCTCTTCACTCCGCTTCACTCCTCTTCACTCCGCTTCACTCCTCTTCACTCCGCTTCATTCCGCTTCACCCCTCTTCACTACTGCCATGATAAGCCCTCTCTACGCCCTCCTTGCCCTCCTCACCCTCCTCGCCCTCCCCACACACACCAGTGCTGCATGGCCAACTATCTTCACCACTGCCATAATAAGACATCTCCTCCTCACCCTCTCTCCACCCTCCCCACCCCCTCTCTGCCCCCCCCATCCCCTCTCCGCCCTCCTCCCGCCCACGCCAGTGCTTCATGGCCAACCATATTGTGCAGCACGTCACAACGCCTCTCTTCCTCATCAACAGCAACTACGACAAAGTTGCGGTAAGATGTCACGCATTCCGCTCTTGCCGTTTGTAATAATTACAATACTTTGTTGGTATTATTGTTATCATCATTATCATTATTGTTATTATTAAGCAATTACTGCTACCGCAAGCTATTACTGCTATTATCATTCCTATTCTAACTCCACTCTATCAGCTCAATCTCGTTACCAACTAACAGATGCAAATGCTCATTCCGGCTGCTTTGTAGCTAGCTAGCATTGCCTCGGTACAATCTACCTCGCTTTTGTGCCGCGACCTGCAGATTTTGAGACGTCTGAAAACAACTCCTTTCCAGCCGCGTTGTAGCTATCTAGTGTCGCCTCGGAAAAAAAAAAAAAAAAAATCATATCTTTTGTGCCGTGACGTGCAGGTGTCACTTCCACTACGACTCAAAAGTCACCTCGGTACAATCACCTCTCTATTGTGCCGTGACGTGCAGATGAGGGCCATTGCAACGCCGCAGTTGCTGGATACGGGGATCATTTCGGAGGCAAACCTTCCCCCGGACTGCTTCAACCATGTCAGCAAGTGCACTGATGCCGAGAAGCGAGTCATTGAGGGTGCGTGCGTGCGGTGTGAGTGCGTGGTGACTTGAGCTGCAGATGAGATGAGGGCTATTGCAGCACCAAAAGCCCCCTTTGACTGCTTCAACCATGTCAGCACGTGCACTGCTGCCGAGAAGCGAGTCATCGAGGGTGCGTGGGTGTGGTGTGAGTGAGTGTCTGGTGACTTATTGCAGCACTGCAGGCATTAGACTCAGCGACAATAGCCCCCCCGCTGCTTCAACCATGTCAGCACGTGCACTGCTGCCGAGAAGCGAGTCATTGAGGGTGCGTGGGTGTGATGTGTGTGTCTGGTGACTTGAGCTGCAGATGAGATGAGAGCCATTGCAGCGCCACAGGAATTAGGCTCAGTGACAACAGCCCCCAGTGAGTGAGTGTGAGTGAGTGAGCGAGTTTTGGGATGGGGGGTGCACCTTGAAAGATTTCATAAGGCCTATTGATTGCACTTCCACAACCCTAATCTTCTTGCCCTACTTGCCTTTCCCAACCTGGCTTGCCTCGGTTTCTTAAATCACTCTCTTTACTTAACCTTCCCGCAACTTACCTCACCATTTTCCCACCTTGACCCACCTTGACCTACCCAGCCCCACCTTGCCCCACATTGCCCCGCCGTGCCTCACCTTTCCCCACCGTGCTTCACCTTGCCCCACACCTTGTCTGCAGATTTCCGCAAGGGAGTGGCGTCAGCAGCGGCTCCTCTCCTCCACACCGACCCACCGTCAGCCACCTCTTCATCACCATCTTCACCGCACTCCACACCAGCCAACGCCGCCTTCCTCTTCTCCTGCTTCCAGCACGGCTCCATCCACTCAGACATGCCGTGGACTGTGCGCACGGCAAAGGGAGTGGTGAGTTACCAGCAGGGTGGTGGGTGCAGTAACAGCAGGGTGGTGGGTGGAGGGGTTGTATTGGTTGTGTGAGACAGCAGGGTGTTGTGTAACACGCAGGCTTACTCCATCCACTCCGGCACTCTGTGGACTGTGCGCACGGCAAAGGGAGTGGTGAGTTACCAGCAGGGTGGTGGGTGCAATAACAGCAGGGTGGCATGCTAGCTACAGGGTTGTATGTAATAGGGGATTGACTCCATCCACTCAGACATGCCGTGGACTGTGCGCACGGCTAAGGGAGTGGTGAGATACCAGCAGAGTGGTGGGTGCAGTAACAGCAGGGTGGTGGGTGCACTAACAGCAGGGTGATGGGTGGGTGGGTGCAGTAACAGCAGGGTGGCATGTTAGCTAGCTACAGGGTTGTCTGTAACAGGGGGCTTGCTCCATCCACTCAGACATGCCGTGGACTGTGCACACGGCTAAGGGAGAGTGGTGAGTCCCAAAAGGAGTGGTGAGTTACCAGCAGGTCTTGTGCAGTAACAGTGGGGTTGTGTGTGGCAGCAGGATGTTCTTCCTTCTTACCACACCACCTTACCTCACCTTTGTCCTCACCCTACCCTGCCCCATTGTGCCTCACCTTGCCTCACCTTGCCCAACTTCCTCCATGTACCGTCATGGTAGTTGTGCATATGTGTGCGTGGAATCTGTGCGTGTGAGTGCATGCGTGCGTATCTGTGCGCACGCACGGGTGTGTACTGTGTAAGCATGAGTGTTTGACCAATCCGGCCTTGCATTGTTTCCTGCCCTCCAATCCAATTTATCCACCAGCCAATGTATGAAGCTGTGGACCGTTGGATGCACCCCGGCAACAGCGACAAGATCGACCTCGTCGAAGGCGGATACCCCTGCAACTCGTGCGAAGGTCTGATGTCCCGCTCCTAGACATCCAGATGCCTCCTGGCCCACCCATGTACGAAGCTGTGGACCGTTGGATGCACCCCGACAACAACGACAAGATTCATCTCATCCGGGGAGGATATCTGAGCAACTCGTGCGCGATGAAGGGATGAAGCATATTCGAAACAGCTCTTTATTCTCTTCAAGTGCATCATGGCCCAGCTGCTCACAGCTTTGGCCGTGCAAATGCTGAATAAGGCCCACAGGTTCGAAATAAGGCCAGGTGGGGCTGGTTATTCCTGTATCATGTAACGTAGTACTCAGCTAGGACCATATTATATTACATGGTTTGATTCAGATTTGTTTTCATTCTCCTTGCTTTGATTGTTTTATTGTAACGCCCATTATACGGTAGGACCATCATTCTCCATATGTTTGCCACCATGGGCCCTTAGGAAATACCTGTTATTCTTAGGATAGATGCCCCTAGGGGCTTATAATTATGTGGGCTTGGACACTCTTTTCATCTGTTGCTGGGAGGAAACAACAGGAGATTGACATGTTTCTGCAGAAGAGGAAGACAGCGTTGGGCAGGTGTCGAGTGAGGCGACGATGAGGCTGTGTGGAAGAGAGGTGCCACTGCCGTGGCCACTCCCCTGCGGTAGTCTGAAACCCAGGAAGGAGTGGTGGATTGTGAAGGTGGGGCAAGGTGGGGAAATGGGGATGAGGCAAGGCAAGGCAAGGGGGATGGGGAAAGGCGGGTTTGAGAAGGGAGTACCGTTATGGTGTGTCGGTTCGGCACTAGGTTTGACCAGCAATGCAGAACAGCAGACAGATTTCACCTGTCCCCTCTCTCCACCCCTCCCTCCCATTCATGCCTTTCCCCTTGGCTCCTCCTATCTTTGGCTTTTCCTGGGGTAGGTGAGTAGAGGAAGGATGAGGAGTTGGATAAGATGTGAAGTGTGGAGCGTTGGGGGAACAGAAATATCACAAGGGACAAAACAATACGGTTACTGTGACGTGGCTATTCGTTTTTCTGTAAGTCATTCGTTCATAGGCATCACTTACAATCCGTGCCCTCCACTTGCAACAAGTTCTAGTAGCACAAGCAAAGGATGCATGCAGGGCACAAGTACTGTACTAGCACACAGTAGTTACTGACACGTATACATGGATCCGTCCCACTTAGCATTTTGAAGATTCCACTCGGTAATCCTCGTGTCCTTCTCTGTCCGAATGAGACACACACGAACTCTTTTCTTTGTGACTTCCTGCACTTCGAGTAAATCAGGCATTTCCTTCAATAGCAGCACAAGCCGCTTTTTCACATGAGCCCTTCTTGAAGACCTCGGGAAACCATGATTCATTAACAGCTCGCCCAACTGCTTCCGGGTCTTCAAACTTAGCCGTTCTTCCAGCTGCTGCAGGGAAATCCAATGGCTGGATGCGCCACCTCCACAAGGTGCTGTGGTAACACAATTTCTTGGCAAGAGCTCCTCCAGAGCAGCATGAACCGCGACTCTCAGCCTTGACTGGATGAGCCCAAGGGTCCTCATATTGGCTTCCGACTGGACGAGCGAAATGCTGAGAGGCTTGTTCGGTTCTTCCCTGGTAAAATCCACAACACCCTTGAGCGCGGATATCAACTGATGCTGTCCTTTCAAACCGTGGTCTTTGTACCTGAACTGCTTCCCAAACACAGCATGGTATAGCTGGAGAAATCGCAGGATGTCGCATGTACCATGAGCACCAAGGATGGTAAGAAACTCGTACTTGAGCCGTGCGATTTCTGGACCATAGCATGTAACTTGTGGGGATGTCAAGCTTGCAGAGGTGTTGTGTGCGCTGGAGTTGGTAGGATCCAACTTTGGAGTTGCTTCTGCAGATGATGAAATGAGGTCAGTCCTGCTGAGCAATCCGCGCATAATGACTGAACCTGCTCGTACCTCACTGGAGTGCACGGACACCTTGGACTGCGTAAGAGCAGAGCGCCATCTCTCAATGTGCTCCTGGTTCCGTTTGGTGGTTAAGGAGAATAATGTGACTACTCTCACTCCCGTGCGAACCAGTGTTGTGATAAAAGGGAAGAAATCCCGATCTCGAGAAAGTATGACCACCAAAGGAAGCTCGAAACTGCATGGGTAGCCAGGGTTGAGATACTCACGTACAGGCTTAAATAAGAAAAAAAATCAGTGGAGTGGCTGAAAAGAAAGGAAATCCGTAGCTAAAGCTACAACACTCACTTGGCCTTCAAAGTGCTTTTCCGCCCAGAGTTCAAAAGGCATGCGATCTCCCTGAGCAAGAATCTTTCAGCGTCTTTCTTTATGGCGTTGTCTGCCATGTTTCTTCCAGGCGGAACTACCACGAGCTCAACATTGGAGTGGCGAATTTCCTTCTGTTCCTGGAAGGATGTGTCTTGTCCGTACGCTCTGATCAGCTGCACGTCTCCTAGACCGTCAGCGAATTTCTGGAGCTCGCAAACAATTTCCGAGGTCGACGCACACTTCGGGACAGGAAGATTCTCGTATCCCAAAACACACCAACAGGAGCTCGATTCGTTGCCGGGGAACTCCACGTAGAGCTCAGTTCCTTGAACGTGCTCTGAAGATCACAGTTGCTGGTAACATGTCGTTCTATGGCGTTTCCTCTGCATTGAGGTTTAGCAAGCTTACTCCTCAGCGTACCGTGTTCTAAAGTCGACAGCAGCGTGAGTGTTGAGAGTGAGAAATTGTTCAGTCTGGTCAGCTTTGAAGCCGGAAAAGTGTACAAAGCGCGTGAGTCCATGGTGGTGGTTGCAAAAAACTCCAGAGAAACGAAATCGTAAGAACTCTCAAGAGATGCAACCTAAGGAGGCTCACCAATACAGGCTTTATGGTATGGTGTGAATCTCGTTCTAGGGTGGTCGAGATTAAGCCACTTACGAGTCGCGATCCCGTGATGGGAAACAGATCAAGTGCCGCTTGCATGAACGAGTGTGCATCCATGGTTGATCTGCCTGCATGCAGATTCTTTCATGTGAACTTCTCGTGACATTTGACCATCGATGTCTCCAAACCAAAGCGTGTAAAATGGACTGGAAAATTTCCATGAACTGGCTATCATTCAGGGAGGCGAAACACCACTATGAGATGCAGACACCGTCAATCCCGGTATCGTACATATCCCGCTGACTATTGCATTGCCACACTCGTGTTCTGGGTTGACATTTACACGCACTATTGCCTAAACCCTGTAAAATATATTGACGTTGACATTATGATGAAGCACATGATGGAGAACAACACAACTGTCTTTAGCTTAGCCATTGTCTAACTAGTTTCTGTCGAGACAGCTAGGCAAGGTTGAATCGATTGACGAGAGAGTTTGGTACAAGAAACACAACCCTAAAGTGTTATCCCCTGTAACATCTACCCCACTACAGCCTACCAATATATATCACACATATATATCATTTGACACACCCCCATAGGCAAAGTGGGGGAGAGCAACGGGTCACAAGACCAGTCAAGAGAAGCAAAACAAGCTCAGGGTGGATCACAACGTCACCACACATTCTGAGAACAAGCAAATGGCCACAAGGCCAGTTCACATGCAGAGATATATATGCAGCAATAACAGTACAGTGATGGCTACCTAGCAAGAGCCAGCATGCAGGTATATATATATATATATATATATATATATATATATATATATCACAGTACAAGCAGAGACTACAGCAAGTGTGGAAACGTAGGCACAAGGCCCAACAGAGTACAAAAGCGCTGATGATCACCAGACGGAAGTGCCTTGGTGAATATATCAGCAGTGTTGGCCCGAGTGGCCACGTGACGAAGACGAAGCTGGCCTCGCTGCTGCAACTCTCGAGCCAGGAAGTAACGCAGAGCAATGTGCTTCGTTCTGTGCTCCAGTCTGTGCTCCTCACACAAGGCAATGGCCGCCTTGTTGTCAACGTACAGCACTGGAGGAGAACGAGGCCGCTCACCCAAGTCAGTCAGCAGGTAGGTGAGCCAGCGTAGCTCCTGTGCAGCCATGGCGGTGGCGTAGATCTCAGCCTCACAACTGGAGCTGAGAACAGAAGACGAGCGTGTAGACCGCCAAGAAACAGAGCCAGAGCCAAGGCTGAAGGTGTAACCCTGTGAAGACCGCAGTGTAGCCTGGTCGTCAACCCAAGACGGAGCAGACTCACTAGCACCTAGGGCTGCAGCCCTTATACCGGGGTCAATACCAGGATCAGGCGGCACACACAAGTAACAGTCACCCTCAGCACTAACAGTCAATGCATACATGGCAGCAAGAATAACATCATAGTCCAGATCAAAGATAGGCACATCACGCCTAAGCAGCTCGGCCCAGTTGGGGAACTCAGTAGCATCAGGATACTTGGCACGCCAGGCGTCACTAAGCCTAGCAAAACAACGATACTCAGTGTGAAAACCGTTGCAGGGGCGACCCTTGCGGGGGCCAGTACGAATGACATAGGGGCAGCGGTCAGAACCCCGAGACGCCCCACGCCCAGCATACCAGTCATTGAGCTGCTGGGAGGTGAGGGGAGGAAGCTGCTGCTGCTGCTGTGGCTGCTGCTGCTGCTGCTGCTGGCCACCAGTGGGGCCACCCTTCTGGCCAGATCCACCCCCACTCCCACCTCCACCGCCACTGCCGCTGCCTCCTCCCCCACCACCGCCGCCGCCGCCTCCACCGCCCCCGGTCCTGCCGCCACCCCACCCACCGCCTCCACCCCCACATCCACCCCCACCACCTCCACCACCCCCGCCGCCTCCACCACCGCTCCCTCCACCGCCACCTCCGCCACCCCTGCCACCCTTGCCGCCCCTGCCACCACCACGCTTCCCACCAGGAGCGGAAGCCGCTGCGACCTTCTCCGCACCGAGGAAGTCGACAGCAGTAGCAGCAGAGGCGTAGGAGGGGTCAAGAGGGGAGGGGGAGCACCCCTCAAAGAGGGGAGTGCGGGGAGTGCCACGAGCAGCACCGACAGCGAGGATGTTCTTCTCTACTGTGACCAGCTGCTGCTCGAAGTCGTCCAGAGTGATAGTTGGAGGATCCTTGGCAAGGAAGTGATCCCTGACAGAGCGAAGAGTGTCAGGGAGGCGGGTGACGAGGATGTAGAGGGTGAAGTACAGCGGGGGGGTGTTCGTGGCGAGGAACTCGTCGGTAAGAGCGGCTCGAAAGCGGGCGTCACTAGCGCGGAGGTGAGTGATAAGGTCGGCAGCAGTGTGAAACGAGGCTAAGTCTGGGAACAGGTAAGGCAGGATGAGACTACCAACGGTGGCTGTGGCCGGGGCGGAATAGCGGGCAACGACAGCATCATACAGCGTCTTAGCAGTCTTAAGCTGGTTGAAATGCGCGCGCTCAGAGATCGGTAGGTGATTGCGAATAACAAGGCGCGCGACTGCGTCGCGGAGCTCCCACTGTGCTCGTTCAGGGGCAGGAGCAGTCTCAGCGGGAGTAGGGACAGTGCCAGTGACATAGGCTAGTAGTGATACTCCGTCTGCGACGTCAGTCATAAGGTAAAGCCGCAGATCACTAAGCCAGGTGTCAAACTCGATGGGGCGGCCGTCAGGCTCAAAGGCGAGAACAGTAAGGGTCGCCATGGTTGCAGCGCAGGCAAAAGTAGCAGGCTCAGGCAGCAGGCTCAGGCAGCAGGCTCAGGCAGCAGGCAAAGGCTGCAGGTTCAGGCAGCAGGCAACTGTAGCAGGCAGGTGCGCAAGGCAGACGGTAGAGACGCAAGGCAGGCAAGAAAAAGACAGGGTAAACCCTAAACCCTGGCGGCAGGTACAGGCGGACGCAATGCACGGGGCAGCAATGCGCTGTACGAGCGGCGAACGCGACGTGCAGGGCCTAGGCGGGCTGCGTGCGGACGGTAGGTGCAGCGCGCAGCTCTGGAGTGGGCCGCGCAGGCAGCAAACACGACGCGCGGGGCGAAAAGGGGCTGCGCGCGAGCAACAGATGCGACGCGCGGGCTGCAGACGGGCTGCGCGGGGCCTTAGCGGGCTGCGCGAGGCAGGGACGGGCCGCGCGCGAGCTGTGCGGGCTCAGGGCGGGCTGCGCGGGCGACGGACGGGGCGCGACGCGGCTGGCAGCAGCAGTGCGCGCTAAAAAAAAAGGCGTGCGCGCGCAGCCGAGGCGCGCGCGGGCAGCAGGCTAGGCAGACAAACAGGCAAGGCAGGTAGGCAGGCCGTTGGTGAGGTAACTTAGTAACTGGTGGGCCCTTAAACTTAGGTCCTAAGAACCTGCTCTGATACCATGTCGAGATAGCTAGGCAAGGTTGAATCGATTGACGAGAGAGTTTGGTACAAGAAACACAACCCTAAAGTGTTATCCCCTGTAACATCTACCCCACTACAGCCTACCAATATATATCACACATATATATCATTTGACAGTTTCAACTTTGACAAAGGCCATACAATATCCATACTACGGTGGAGTATATCCAGAGAGCGACGGTATTATACAGGGAATTACAATACAGCAATAATCGAACAAATACATTAACAAACAATTCCGAATCAAGCCATAAGGTACGGTATTATCAAGCAGGACTCCTCCAGGTGCTTCCAAAAGAGTAAGCAACACTATCGAGACTCCGCTCGCTTATTTGCGGCTTATTCAGAGCCAGCGCAGCCAATGCTGAGAGCAGATGGGCTATAATACACATGAAGGGGAGAACTATTTCAAGTGGGCGCTTTAGTCCTCCACAACAATGCATGATTTGCAGGTGTATGCTCCCTCGATGAATGAGATGAATAATGTGGTTCTGGAAAGCACTGATGTGTCGCTTTTCAGACACATCAAAAGACACGTGCGCGTTAATCCTCTGCCATGATGCACGAGTTGCACGGATATGCTCCTTCAATGAGATCAATCTTGTCGGCGTTGCCGGGGCGCATCCAACGGCTCACAGCTTCGTACATGGGCTGTAGTTGGATGGATGGAAATAAAAGGAAGAAAGGCAGATTTGGTTAACAACCGTGTATATGCACACCCATGCATGCTCGCACCAAAACACACACATGCACATGCTATCACGTGCAAACTGACAGAGATAACACCGGGTGCGCACCACTCCGTTTCCCATGCGCATCACGCACGGGACGTTCGAGTGGATGGAGTAAACACCGTGTTACACACAATCCCCACTGACAATGCACCGCACTGCTGGGTACTCACCATGCCTTTGGCCGTGCGCTTCATCCACGGGACGTCTGAGTGAATGGAGCCGTGCTGAAAGCAGGAGAAGAGGAAGACGGCGTTGGCAGGTGTGGAGTGCACGAGAGGTGCCACTGCGTTCGCCACTGCCTTGCGGTAATCTGAAACGCATGAGTGGGGAACGGTGAAGCAAGGTGAGGCAAGGTGGGGAAAGGTGGGGGAAGGGAGGTGGGGCATGGCAAGGCAAGCGGGTGAGGAAAGAGAGGTAGGGAACAAATGGTATTGCAAGGTAAGGCAAGAGGAGTAGGGCAAGGTAAAGCAAGGGCGACAGGGTAACGCCAAGCAAGTAGTAAGGCAGAGGAGGGTAGACTTGTGCAAGCGCATGCACACACTCACGCAACCTCACTCACTAACTCACTCACTCGCTCGCTCTCTCGCTCACTCACTCACTCACTCACCCTCAAAGATTTTTTTCTCCTTGGCAGTGCAGGTGCTGAGATGGTCGAAGCAGTCAGGTGGGGCCGTTAATCCTGAATCCAACACCTCTGGTTGTGTAATGGCCCTCATCTGCAGGTCATGTCAGGAACGGGAGTGCAAGCGCGAGCACGGAAACGGTCAAGAGGCGAGAGAGGGATGGCTGATTATGATTGCAAAATAATATTGCTTGCTGCAACGAGTAGAACGAGTAGAAATCTTATTTATTATTATTGCTTGCAATTATTTACTATTGTGGAACGAGCATAGTGCTTACCGCAACTTTGTCGTAGTTGCTGTTGATGAGGAAGAGAGGCGTTGTGACGTACTGCAGAATATGGTTGGCCATGAAGCACTGGCGATGGGAGAGGAGAGTGAGGGCGGAGAGAGGGCGCGTTATGGCTAAGGTTAAGAGCGGTGGCGTGGAGATGGCATGGCATGGGGTGGTGTGGCATGGTGGATTGGAGACGGCAAAAGCAGCACACCTCATGATGCTTTTGAGAATTCCCATGCTGGTTGAATTTTAGAATCTGAAAAAGCAACCTACGAAAAAGGCAGGCAGCAGCGCACCTGATGATGCTGCTCTAGCGCTCGCTCCTTGACACACGCTGGTGGGAGGCTGATGGTGAGATTCTGGAAAGACGGACGGGGAGAACAGGGAGTAGAGAGAAGACAGAGAGAACGGGGAGATAACAGGGAGGATGGAAAAGGGAAATTTGAGAGGGGCGGCAGATATGGGTTGATGTGGGATTGCTTGTTCCTTATGACTTGAGTGCTCTTCAGTTATGAGTTGCCCACATTTGTTGTCTCTGACTTGCTCACATTCTTGTCACGTGCATATCCTCAAGTGCTCACATGCATGTCCTGACTTGCTCACATGCATGGTCTGCACTTTAGAAAAGAATGCTGCGATCCTATGGGTGTTGTCGGAATCTGGACTGCTCATTTGCAGAGAGGGGGGAACAGGGAGAGACGCACACACACGCGCATGCACAGACATGAGAAACAAAACAATCCCACACTATGTAAAAAAAAAAAAAAGCAAACACAAACTAAGTCAACAAGACAATGAGCCCTTACAGGACAGCCCCATGGTAGTCAAATTGCAACGTAACTAGACAGTTGCAGAGGAGTGAAGAGGAGTGAAGAGGAGTAAAGCAGGGTGAAGAGGAGTCTTACACGTCAAGGAACATGGAAGCGTCAGCAAGGCAGCGGACGTGCATGGAAGGAGAGGCGGCTGTGAGAGTGTCCCTCACTCGATCGCAGTGCAGCAGCGCCGCCACGCCTCCCGCCGAACTCCCGGTCACAACCACCTGCGCGGTTGATGAAGGGTGGAAGAGAATCACTGGCACTACTTTGTACCAAACCTGCGAAGGCACTGGCACTACTTTGTACCAAACCCAAGGTTCTTTTCCCAAAAGCAGCAGTGCCAGTCTCCCCGCTGAACTCCACAACACCACCTCCCCTCTTCTCACCTTCTCAGCGTGGTCAAGCCCCTTCTTCTCCATGAGGTGCTTAACCAGCGCGTCCGCCACTTTCCTTCCGCGCATGTACAGCGGAATGCCCTGGGGGGAGGGGAAGGAAAGGGGGGAACGGATAGGGACAGAAGGGATAAAGTTCAAATTTACAGGGGAAATTGAGTCTAAAGAACTCTCGAGATTACAGGGGAATGCATTGCGGTGGGGGGGGGGGGGGGGGGGGGGGGGGGGGGAGAAAGGAGAGGTGGATTCGGGAGGGGGGGAATGAGAACGAAGAAACAGCATGACGAGAAGCGGAGTGGTCACCACGGTGGAGAGGAGAGAGAGGTAATGTAAAACGGGCGAGAGGCGAACAGGCGGAAAGGCAGAGAGGCGGAGAGGTGGAGGGGAAGAGGGGCAGGTGACTGACATTGAAGCGAACGGGCTCGTCCTGGTTGCCTGAGAAGGAGCCGCCATCGCAGTAGATGAAATAGACGGCGTTCCAGTTGTAGAAGGCTGGTGGGGGACAGGGGACAGGGGAGAGGGGACAGGGGGACAGGGGACAGGGGGCAGGGGGAAGGGTGGAGTGGATGCAAGGCAGTGTCAGCACAGCAGGCGAAGAGAGCTGACGGTACAGTTGAAGCTGAGAATGCCATTCGTGCTGCCGTTCTGCGCATCAAGTGTGCGGTGCGGTGCGATGCAATGCGGCGCGGTGCGGTGTGGTGCGGTGCAGTGCTGCAGATACGAATTCTCACCAGGGTTGTCGGTCTTGCTGCCACTGAGCATGCCCTGCATGCTGCCGTTCTGCTTATCAAGTCTGCGGTGCGGTGCGGTGCAGTACGGTGTAGGAAGTACCAACAATTCTTACCAGGGTTGACGGTCTTGCTGCCACTGAGCATGCCCTGCATGCTGCCGTTCTGCGCATCAAGTGTGCGGTGCGGTGCGGTGCGGTGCGGTGTAGTGCAGCAGCGGCTTGTTCTCACCAGGGTTGACGGTCTTGCTGCCACTGAGCATGCCCTGCATGCTGCCGTTCTGCTTATCCAGCATCTCCCCTATTGAGCGCGCGTGCTTCGTCGACCCCAGGTGCATGCGCGCCCTGTACGCGCAGGCATGGGGGGACGCGCACCACGCGCCGCCCTGGCATTTGGGGGAGAAAGGGGAGGGGGGAGGGGGAAGGGGGTGTGAGCGCGCATGCTTTGCGGACTCCAGGTGCATGCGCGCCCTGTACTCGCAGGCGTGCGGGGACGCGCACCACGCGCCGCCCTGCAATGGCGGGCGCGGAAAGGGGGAGGGGAAAGGGGGAGGAGGAAGGGGGAGGGAAAAGGGATAGGAGGGGGAATGGAAGGTAAACAAAGTGAGGGGAAGAATGAATGAACAGCTGAGGGGATGGAGGGGCAATCAAAGAGAAGAGAGTAGGAGGGAGGGTCGGAGTGCGGTTACAACTGAAAGGACTCCTTCAAAAATCGTTTTGGGGGGGAAGACGGAGAAGTCGTTCGTTTTAGTCACACCTCGAAGAACAGCACCCAGTTGTTCTGTCCCGAGCCGTAGCCCTTCCGATAGTAGAACCCTGGGGCCGACCCGTCCAAGCACACTGCGCCCTCCGCGCGGCCTTCTTCCGCCAGAATCAGCTGCAGCGGCGGAACATGCGCCTCCGTCATTGCGGAAGCATGGGCGGATTCTTTCACTAGCTCCGCCGCTCTCCTCCGCGGAGAGTCTCCGCCGCTTCCGCCAACGGCCAGCTTGCGGGGTTGCACCGCGTTCCCGCGCAATCCGCGCGCGCCGCCAGCTGCCGCTGCGACGAGGAGAAGAACAACGAGAACCGCCGCTGGCGGCGCAACTGGCGGAAAGCCCCGGCGCGACATGACGACGAGCGTGCGGGTCGCGCTACCGATGGAGAGGCGGCGGCGGAATTGGCGTAAACAGGTGACACAGCGCGCTGCTTGGAAAGCTGGCGAGGCGCTACTAGCCTACGGAGAATATCCCTTTACAGAGAGGGTGGATGAAGAATTCTCCTTGATAGAGCGGGTGACCGGAGAATTTCCCTTGATAGAGCGGGCGAGCGGAGAATTTTTCTTGGCAAAACGAGTAATGGAAGGAGTAACGAGTGATTCGTCCTCGCGACAGGGTACTATTTAAGCTGACATCGTAACTGCGGCGCGGGATCATGATCGCCGATCGGCGCATCACGATAGGCGCGCGCAGTGATCGCATGTGCCAGGCGGCGCGATACTGTACTACTACGTGGCGGAGCGTGGCGTGGCGGAGCGTGGCGTGGGAGCTCGAGCTCCGGCCTCGTATCGGCGCGCGCACTGCGGTGAAAGAGCAGATGGTCGCCTGAGAGGCGCGAGAACTGATCGTCGCCTGATCGTCGCCTGATACGTATCGATGATGATTCGCTGGGGGACGGAGCATGGCGGAGCTCTTCCCGGGCAGTTGGGGGGGACGTACTACACGTATCGCCATGGGGGGGACGTACTATCGCCATGGGGGGGACGTACTATCGCCATGATGATCCGCGGGGATCCGGTCGGTCCGAGTCGGCCGCAGAAACCAAGTGGAAGGGCGAAATCGCGCGCATCGGCGGAAATCGTGTTTGTCTCAAAAGAATCGACCCAAATTGCTCCCCGCTCGCCACGTGGGCGTTTTTCTCAATTGATTCGACCCCCTTTCCCCCCGCCCCCCCACCCCGTTTTTCCCGCCCTTGCCCTCCGAAATTCGGGCACCCGCTAGAATCTCGTGAAATCACAAAACGTCACGAATACATGTTTTTTCGTAACGCTAAGATTTCAACATGCGAGCGACATCTGATTGGACAGAACACCTATGACTTCTAATGATAAATTTAGCAGTAATATGGATTATATTAATTATGTGCCACTGCAGTAACATATTTTTTTAATCTTTGTAATACGAGTACATATTTTTATTCTAAATAATATCAAGAAGTACAATAAAACAAAATATCTACCTATTTCAAAATACATTTATTTTTATTTGCCGTGGAGCTATTATAATAAAAAATTTATGAAATTTAACTCTTAGTTTTTTAAGTTTTTCTGGAATACGCTTCATGTAGATATATAGAAAACATAAAGAAACTGTAGGTTGATTTTTCATGTGTTTTTTTTTTTTGCGCCCTTATCTACATTACTGGCATGGGCTAATCCAAAAAAATACGATACAATCAACGTGCATATGAGCCTCCTGAGATTGAGAAGCAACCGCCAAAATTAGGGCGCGTGTCTTTTGGATTTTATTGCAAAGTTCATGTTTTCTAGTCGATTTTTTACGTTTGAACCTAGGTCGACCTGTACTCGAGTATCTCAAGTTTTGGGTCCCGAGTCGCGATACGGATGTGGTGAAAGGACTGGTTATGCTCACCCGGGAAAGTCAGAAGTGTCGCTGGATTCACACCGTCGCTGATCTTGCTGACCGGGCAAAGAAGCTCCTCATCTATTAACCTTCTTTATTCTGTTCGCTCTGTGGTGGCAAGCATTATGATAAGTATCATGTTGCTTTTATCACTTAGTGACAGAATAATGTAGGCAAATGGAATCTCAACCTTGGCAAAGTGTACAGGCTAAGCAATAAACGTAACAATCAGATCTCTATGCGCATTCCTCTCGCTTTCTTACCTCATCCACTAACCTGCTCTTCGATCTCCACAGCTGCATTGCCGAAAGCATTGTTGCTATTCCTCCCCATCCTCCTCGATCCTGCCATTCCTCTTATTTTTATTGGCAGCAGCAAGGAAGACTGGATCTGCACGCAAACGGGCTGCGGAAAATCACATGGCACATCAAAGTTCGACTTCAGAAGTTCGACTTTATACAGTAAAACCCGAGTCGCGCCCCAGTTTCGTAGGTTACCCGATTTGAAAACGTAGCTCGTAAACTAACCGGATGAAGTAACGAGGTACGATGTCGTTCGTTACTATCGCGAATGTCGCAGATTCACTGTGCATGAAAAGAAGAACACACGTTTGGCTAAACGGGCACGTGAAAATTCGACCCCAGTTCATTGTCCCTCTGTTTCATCAATCTTTAAACTTGGAAACACGATTATCGCAAACAGCTTTCAACGAAATAACGAAGCCGGTTACCACCAAAAGGTCGACCTTAATTTGAACCTCTACACCAAAAGACACGCGCCCTTATCGATTGCGAAAGCTGATGTGGCATACCACAACTACATGGTGGATTTGGCATGATGTAAAAAGCATGTATTCGTGACTTTTTGTGATTTCACGAAATTCCAGCGGGTGCCCGAATTTCGGAGGGCAAGGGCGGGAAAAACGGGGTGGGGGGGCCGGGGGAAAGGGGGGTCGAATCAATTGAGAAAAACGCCCACGTGGCGAGCGGGGAGCAATTTGGGTCGATTCTTTTGAGACAAACACGATTTCCGCCGATGCGCGCGATTTCGTCAAGTGGAAGGCACCTGCAAACCGACTTTCAGTCGCCGCCGATGGCCCTGCGCTTCGATCCATAATCTCCCCCTTCCCCTCGTCCCTCCCCCCACTTCCCTCTCCAACTTCCCCCATCCCCGCATCCTTGGAGCAAATAGTTCCGGTTCCCCTGTCTTTCTCATCCTCGCTCTCTCCTCCACCGTCCATCTCTCCCTCCCACGTGCTATTCGGGAAATGACATGCGACGCGGATGGGGGGTGGCAGGAGGTACAGTACAGATTCCATCGAGAGCTCCTATCCATGATGCCGAAGGCTGTGGATCGTCACGTGTCTTCGATTGTCGGGCACGCAGCCACTGCTTGTACGGATCTGAGGCTGTCTGGCAATCGCGCCTCGTGCAACAACCAGCAGCAGCATATTGCAACCCGGAAGTGATGTTTGTTTTGACAGGCCTCCACGCTCACCACGGGAGGGAAAGTCGGTGAGGAGAATATTTGAGGCGAATGGGAAAAACATTCGTTTGCGAACCACAAACAAGTGGTAAGAGCGTGTTACACCCAAGCAAAGATTGCTGCATTTTGAGGATCACGTAGGCGATCCTTACAGAACAGTGTCATACCTACCACTGTACAGTAATCACTGTGTCAGGTGATGTACCAACAAGGGAAGGATCGAAATCACGAGAGATCGTGATACCCGATCTTGGTGTTTTTTGGGAGATCGTGGTGACTGCCAATCTCTCGGTGATCCTTGCATCTTTGTACCAAAGACAAGGTGATCCTTGATGACGAAACTTTTGTTGTCGTGAACTGCTGTTACAACGTCGCGACTAATCAGAGCATTCTTTTGATGAAGTTCGAACCAATA